AGGACAGCAGCAGCAGCGGGAGCAGCAGCAGCAGCAGCAGCAGCAGCCATGCCAGTTAATGCTTGAAACAGTCATACGGGGAAAACAAAAGAATTAATGGATCAAATAGCTGAGATCCTCAGCACTGCTGGCCTTGCTGCTGCTGTTGCTGCTGCTGCTGCCTCTCCACGTTTCCACGGGGGTGGTTGTCCTTGTGCAGTGTCTGTGGTGGGGCCCCCTGTTGCTGCTGCTGCTGCTGCTGCTCCAACTAATATGAAGTGTGCCTTTAACTGCTTTTTTCTTAATTTTTTGCTGCTTCTGGATGACTGTGTTTTCCCTTCCCTCGTCGGTTGCTGCAGCAGCCCTCGGATCGCCCGCGAATCGCAGCAGCAGCAGCAGCAGCAGCTGCAGCATACGAAACGGCAACGGCAGCACCTTCAGCTGCAGCAGCAAATCTGCTGTCCTTGCCACAATGCAGAATCCGTAGCAGGAGGTGCTGCTGCTACCGTAACGCCCCAATATGCTGCTGCTGCAGCGGCGCGAGGGGGGCGCAAGTGCAGCGGAGCTGCCAGGCACTGCAGCAGCAGCAGCAGCAACAGCAGCTCAAAGAGCAGCAGCAGACACAGGCTACTTCCCCTGTCCCCTGGAAGACACAGTCTTAACCCCTCTTATACTGGGCGGTGAAGACGGATCCCTGCAGGGAAATTGCAGCAGCAGCAGCAGCAGCAGTAGCAGCAGAGTATGTACCAGCAGCAGCAGCAAATGCTCCTGCTGCAGCAGGACGAGCTGTAGAGGAGGCGCAGGGCCCCACCTGTTGTCGGCTCGCTACTGCGCAGCAGCAGCAAACCTGCATGCAGAATCCGAAGCAGCAGAGCCAGCAGCAACAGCAGCAGCTGATTCGTTTCGTCTGCCTCCAGATGTTATTCAGACAAAATGTGCAGCAGATACAGCAGAGGAGGCTCGTGCCACAGCAGCTGCAACAGCAGCAGCAGCAGGAGGAGCAGCAGGAGCACTCCCAGCAGCAGAAGCAGCAGCAGCAGCAGAAGCGGCAGCAGCAGCTAGCTGCTTGCCAGATGTTGCGCTAAGCGACGTTGCATGTGTGAAGCAGACGCTAAGGGCAGTAGCAGCACGCCGTGTCCACGCAGCAGCAGCAGCTGCTGCTGCTGCTGCTGCTGCTGCAGGTTGTGGGCGGCATATGCCATCTGCAGCAGCCGCAGCAGCAGAAGCCGCAGCAGCAGAAGCAGCAGCAGCGGACGCTGCGCTCTTTGCTGCACAGCGGCGCTGCCTGCTGCAGCAGCAGACACAAGCTGGCCCGTTGCTGCTGCAGCAGCAGCAGCTGTATGCCTGCGGCCGCGAAGCTGCAGCAAGCATTCAGCTGTACGTACACCTCAAACGTGCTGCAGTGGTAGCCGGCGGGGTGGTTATTAAGACAGTCCCCACAGCTTACTCGCCACTTGCTGCTGTTCTCGCTCCTGCTGCTGCTGCTGCGGCTGAAGAGAGAGACGCAGCAGCAGCAGCAGCAGCAGGTGCGGGGTACAGTTTGCAAAGGGGAGAGGAGCCGCTGCGGCTTTGGCTGCTGGAGAGAAAGGCTGCTGCTCGCGAGTGTGTGGTTGAGAGCTTCAGCCTCAGCAGCAGCAGCAGCAGCAGCAGCGCAGCAGCAACAGCTGCTGCTGCTGCAGCGGAGCAGCTAACTGTAGGCATCCCTGCTGCAGCTTCTCAGATATGGGTCACTGCTGCAGCACGGGGGGTCTCGTTTGTGCCCCCGCACTCAAGCCCCGCGCAGCAGCAGTGGCAGCAGCAGGAGCAGCAGCAAATGCTCAATCAGCAAGAGCAGCAGCAGCAGCAGCAGCAAAGGCAGCAAGTAGTGGGCGCAGATAGCACGCCGCTGCTGTTCTCGGTCACTGCTCGGGGAGGCGGCAGCGCTAGGCCTGTGCTGTTTCGCTGCTGCAGCAGCTGCGCTTTCGGTAGCAGCAGCAGCGGCAGCAACTTGTGCTGCTGCTGCTATGGAGCCGCGAAGGCTTCCTCTTTTGTGACTTTCACTCATGACAGGGGCAGCAGCAGCAGCAGCAGCAGCAAGAGTGGCATTGTAGTTTTGGGGATGATATCTGAGCTTCCTCTTGCTGTTGCATTTGCTGCGGAGACGCAGCGGCTGCTGCTGCTGCTGCTGGTGCCTCTCGACGAAGAGGAAGAGCTGGCAAAGCAGCAGCAGCGGCAGCAGCAGCAGGACCCGGAGCCTGCGCCGCTGTACGAGCTGCAGCAGCTTGCTTCCTTCGCGTGCGGGTCTGCAGAAGGGCCAGCTGCAGAGGCTTTGTCTGCTGCAGCAACAGCAGCAGCAGCACGAGGCGCTGCTGCTGCTGCAGTTCCCGTAGCACTGCAGCAGCAAGGCTGCAAGCCTGCTTCGCCGCCAGCTCTTTTGCTGCTGCCGTGGGGAAGCCCTTTTGCTGTTGAAGATCGGCTGCGTGTGCTGGTGCACCTGGAGGAGCGTCTGCTGCTGCTGCTGCTGCCGGTCCCAGCCTGCAGCACCTGCAGCAGCAGCAGCAGCAGCACCAGGGACCCAGTCGCGTTTCCAAATGTTATCGCCTTCTGCTGCCTCAAGGAAGCAGCAGAAACTGCAGCAGCAGCAGCATCGCTGCCAGTCTCTGACGCCACAGCCCGCAGCGGCAGAGTAGATGGGGCTTCCTTTCTTTCT